GTCAGCCATCCCTCGCATACATGAAGGGCGTCACGTAATCATCGATAAGTGGCCCGTCACAATGCGGTTCCTGCGATTGGGACCGCCCGCTCATATATCCACAGTGAGGGGAAATACCCCATACGAGGAGACTTCCCAGAACGTCAGGAGGGCCAAAGAAGGCCGTCGCCGACGGCCGCGCTCTGTCATTGTTTTTGCTCCCACGGAATGCCCGCATCCCGTGACAAAAAGGCGATGCGGCCTCGTCCTGGGCGTTCGGCTACGAATGGATGAGGGTTGCCTACTCAGATATCACCATAGGTGGTGGAAAACCTCGTCTTAGGACTTCGATTGGAGACTCGACATGTCTCAGCGTATGAGCAACACACCACCTCGTGGCATCACGGAATCTGCGCCTCTGAAGGAATGCCCGTCTGGGCTCCTCGCTTACCCCTGTCCTGTCATTCCTCAGTGGAGCATCAGCATCTGAACTGATTCTCTCTCACTCTCAACCGCCCGAAAGAGGTTGTCAGAAGACATGCGAAAGCACAAAATCAGAGCATCTTATCAACCAAAACCCAACTTTTCTGGGCAACCCGCAGGGGCGCAAACAAGAACGACATCCCGGCCGGGTGTTCCTCTTTCCCCCAGAGCCTGTCTGCCCGATCACCTTTTGGCTGCTGCAGCTCCCCATCTGCAGAGATCATCACCGCCGAGCGAATCCTAGTCCCATCACACATGCTTCTTTGTTCTCTTCACCACACCGTCACCTCGTGCCCGACGGGGCCTTGGCCAACAACAGCAAGTTGATCCATCTAGTGGCTTGGGCACTACTCTATTTTTCGATTATACACAGGCCCTGCTGCTTACGCGCCAGAGAGACCGTTTTTTTGCTGTGCTCGTGCTGACTTACAGCTGTTGGACCCCTGAGGCCCAGCCGCCCTGCCACCCGCATGCGGTCTAGTCGCGTGTGATTCGGACGGCGCTATCTGTGACTTTCGCCATGGACCCGCAGCGAGACCACCCCGGTCTACGGCCGGCACGAGCCATAGGCACCGCGGACGACGGGCACGCTAGGGCTCGCGCGCGCGGGGAGAGGCGGCGGAAGGAGGAGAGGGGAGGTCTGTTGGTGGTGGTGGTGGTGGTGGCGGGCGGCGAGCGGCGACGGACCGGGGGTTTGTGCACTCCAGGTCCCCATGTGTGATGAGAGGTGAACGCAATCGGGCCTTGAAGGTTGGTGGCGCCGGGGATGTTGTTGATGACTTACATAAGTTCAGGTCTTGGATGTTGTTGTCTTCTTCCTCACTTGCATGCCCATCGCTCGCTCCCTCGTATTCCCGTCGCCATGTCTCGGGAATTTTCTAGGGTTTTCCCTGAAGCCGTTGCATGTCTTGGAATCTGCGTTGTCTAGTTCAGACACTGAGAGCAGCAAGAGAAGCAGAGGAGGGGGCTGGGGGTAGGCGAGGCGGGATGGAAGACTTCCGTGCCTCGGGAATGACGATCTGTGAATCTTTGGCGGGAAGAAAGAACAAGAGAGAAAAAAGGTCCATCATCCAAGCGGTGAGCGTAAAAAGTGATGCAAGATGCATATCCCGTGGTCATGTGCCCTTGTCCAACGTACGAGGGTATTGGGCGGCGGCGGCGGCGGTTGGAGGGCCTTTTTTTCTCGCCTTGATTGTTCGTGCCACGATGATTCCTGCCCTATTGCTTTTTCCAAGTTAAACGCCCATCGTTGGGCACGTGGTCCTGTGCGACCCGTTTATCGGGAAGGTCGAAGTCGTTTGTGGAGCTTTGCGATTCGTGGGGCTGGCAGGTGGTTGATTGGCAGACATCGCACCTTATTTTTAAAAATCGGGTTCTTCCTCCTTAGGACTTTTTCTTGGTTATTCTCGTCGGCCGAAAACGGCGGCGCAAGGGGAGGGGGTGTAACTTGATTTTCGTGGGATTGAGGATCTCTCTCGGGCGCTTGGGTGCATTGTTGGTTCTGGGGACGATTGAGAGAGAGTTGGCTCAAGTCGGTGAGCATGTTGAGCCCCCCGTCTGCAGAAAAGTAGTGAGTCATGATGGACGGTGATGTTCGTATTGACGCATTAGTCGCAGTAGAATTGATTAAGTCTGTTGTTGTGTTGAGCCAGAGTTGTCGGACTGGCTTCCCTCCTCCCAGCCACCGGCTGCGATTTCAGCACAACTTATTGTTCTTGGCGATTTGGTCTCAGTTGAGTTGTCAAAGTCCCTTCTCGGGTATGAGTGCCCTGCTGGGGTTGGTGAAGTGCCATCGCCTCGCCTCCCACCTGCAGCAGTTGACGTGAGACCCTGTTCCGAAAAGAGGTGCATTAGAGGGTGACGGGGATGGGGATGGGGGCATAACCGACTCCCGGCTTTCGATGGCCCGCCCCCGGTCCCGGGACAGGGACCCGCTCCGAGGTATGCGGGGCCGGGTTCAGTCTCAGATCTGCCCCGCCTGCTCCGTTCCAACGGTGAAAGGTCTAATTTAACGTCGTCTGAGACTGTGTTGGAGGGCTCTAACGGGCGTAAAGGGGACGTGCAGATGGAAGTGGTCACGAAAAGCTTGAAGAGTCTTCTGTTGAGGGTGGATGTAACGTGAAACCCTACAGTAACTAGGCTCTAGCCGTAAGCTCCAATCTCTCGGGCTTCACAACTCCCCATATCCTATCTTTACCCCTAAACCGAGCGCGAGTCAACTCAATCAAGCTCGGGTTTTCATTTCCAAACAGAGCCTGCTTTTGTCGAAAAAATGCCTGTCTGAAGCAAAACAAGCCATAGCCATAGCGCCAAGAAAGTCAATAGACGGGTTTGAGTTCTGTCGTCTCAGCTTCGTTGTAGACACATAGACAACACAGCCTAAGGCGTAGCTGTCATCTCGTCAAGCCCGGCGGGCAATTTTCCATTACAGTAGCATCGGCATACTGGAGTCAAGGTGATGGTAGAACTTCAAGTCAAGAGACTTGCTCCGCAGAGCACTGTAATAGCTATGTGAACCCTACTTCTGTTACAGGAAGTTCATCCAGAGAATATGTGGCTGTTGACTTGCTTGTGACGTATATAAAGCCGGTTGTCCACACAACAACTAACAGACCAAATCATCAGAAAGCAGCATCATCACCTTCATTTACAAATTTCTATCACACGAGTCCCGACGTTCATTAACCATGCGTAACACGTACCTCCTCTCGTCCATTTTCTTCCTCACTTCGGTCTTTGCGATGCCGGGCGAGTTGATCGAGCGCCAGTCGGGATGCTCAACAAGCACTCTCGCAGGCAAATGTACCATCCCTGGAACATCGAACAACTTTTTCTGTCAGGTTGAGAGCCCGGCGTGCTCTGGAGGGTTGACCACAAAGGGCAGTATCAAGATTACGAACTGTTCTGGGCAGGGAGCGGCTTGCACGGCATCTGTAAGTCATATACAGTCGCTCACAATATTTCAAGAGTAAGGACTAAAAGTTCGGTAGCAATTGTGCTGCCCTCCGTCCAACGAGGATTAGTCGACACAGAGTCCTGCGAAAGTAGTTCGAAGTAGAAGCAGGGGAAATGGGACCATAAACATTTATACTAAGAGATGAGCACTCAGCAGCGGCTGTGAGACCAACTTTACAACTGGGCATCTGATAGAGTATAAGGAGTGACTTATTTCAAATACTTATAGATAGACTGCATAGAGCCTTCGAGGCTTCTTGATCAACTACTTCTCACTCAACCTCTGGATACTGGTTGTCTTCTCAGGCTTAGTTATGTATTTCTGATACTTCATGCCACGGAGAGTAAATCTGCTCTTCCTATCTCACTCGCAAAGATATCTGGCCACGGGACAAAGCTCTGGGGATCTTATGCGGTCCGGTGATGAGATATTAGTCACGGGGTTCCCTGGTCCATCGAACATCATTTCTGAATAGCCCGTAGCACCGTCGAAGGACCATTTAAGATTTTAGTTTGTTCCCTAGCCTTCAAAGATCGCATCTCTAGCCTATTCAATACGACCTTAGCTCGTGTCATCCCTTACCTCACCGGTGTCAACATCCGCCTAAACGCGCTGCCCTAGGGGTTGGTAGAAGATACTGCAGAAACGCATATGGTGGCTTTTGCCCCAATCTGCAATGGCCTAACTTTGATGAAATGAGCATAAAAAGGCGTATTGACGTGCCTCTGCCAGGATTGTTGACGGGGCAGCTAGTCCACAGAATCCAGACTCCCAGAGCGTCAAACTCAACCATATCAAATATTCCAGCTGCGTAAGGTCTCAGAACATTTTATTTCAGTAATTCAATCAAAGAAGAGCCGTGAGGAAAAGTCGTCAGCATGAAATAGATGTCGGAGTGCTGCTGTGGGTGGAGCCTCATCGCGAGTATGCCCCGCCAGCCCTACTTGGTCCACCTCATCGCACACTTCCACCACATACGACCATACCCATTGGAAAACTCGGGATCCCGTCCGCTCTCCCATAGATAAGCCAATGAGGGCTGGAGTAGTAGTCGGGTCGGTGACGACCGGCGAATGCCCGGTGTTGTATGTTTTTTTGGTGTTTTGTTGTGATCTTTTGCTCTCCGGGATATCTGGTTCGAGCATGCCGAACTGCCCAGTGATAGCACCATCGTAGGTGTCACACAAACTTATAAGGACGCTACTGACAAGTCTATGATGTCTGTGCCCTGGATGTGGATAATGAGCTGCCTAATAACAGCTCCGGACTAGTTCTGTTTTCGTGACTTCCTGGCTTCATCTCAACCTCCTCAGCGCCACTCTTGTTCAAAGGTTGTCGATTGCTTTACTCAAAGTCCATAGACCTCATCGTCCTTTCAACTCATTGAGAACCTCAGGATATCATCCACTCTCCCATAGATGAGCTATTGAGGGCCTCACATCTAGACAAACCCTCACAAGGAACTGAATAAACCCACAGACTGTGTCACGGCGTTGCCTAACCGAATCGATTTATGTTTACCTTCATCTCGCACAAGTTCCCATATCGCAGCACACATTTTCCCATGTCACAACACATCGCCATGCCTAGCCCGCTTACGAGCCCCCAAGCATCCCGTCTCTTATGGAGGCTCCAGGGCCCGTTGGCCGAGAGCATCTTCGTCGTATGGAACTGGGACACCCAAGACCCTCCGCGTGAACCCTTCGCCACCCAGAACCTCACAGGCAACATTTCATGGCACGCCATCTCACAGGAGTCGCTCACGGAACCCAAGATCAAGACCATAAGCGTACATGTCGATGTCCTAAAGCGCTGACAGGGCGAATGGATTGAGTGGCACTTGCGACATGCTAGTCCTGGCGATGACGACTGCGTCTATGGAGAGCTGCTGGACGACCTTCATTACGAGTCAGAGTGCAGCAGCAGCGAAGGAGCCGAAGAGGATGACAATGGCGACGAGGTAGAGCTCTTGCGCTGCTGCGACACTGACCAGCCAAAAAGAGCACTGCCCCTCGTCATCGAGGCATCCAACACGGAATCCATCACAATTCACGATTACGTCTCGGCGCTACACCCGTGGCTAATAGGGCTGCGGCAGGACATCGCACGAGCTGACAACATGATGGGCGACAGGAAATCGGAGGAGTACGAGCATCTGGTGGTATATATTACCAACCCACAGGATTTGAGCATCATGGACGAGAGGCGTTTACTCGGTTGCAGGTACACGTGTCCGCCAGTTCAGATGCCCATGAGCCAGGAGCACGCGTACTTGCCGAGCAATGTTTTGACGCTTGACGTTCCTCTTTTCAGGAATATCCCGCGTGCAGGGGGTGATTCTGTATGATTCTACCTCAAAAACGCCGTGGATACAAAGATATACATACGCAGACTTTGGAGAACGAGACAAATTCCAGTTGACCGTGACACCAAGTCGCCCGCCTTCCACTCCTACATCACGCTCATGGCCCCTGGACCGATGCCGACAACCACGGGACTACAGACATCCAGAAAGGATGGAAGAGGTCGAAAGAATGGCTATGTGGCATATTACATGACAAAGTTCACATCTTACTCTCCGCGCTTTCCCCTCCGCGCTTTCCACGGATGGCATGGGCGCATGGCTGTGCTTCTCTCTACTCCTGTTCCGGCGAATGAAATGCTTGGCGAACCATGACTTGGTGATGAATCAGGTGGAAGATTCTAAAACAACTTGCTCTTGGTGAAAGTCATGGATTAGTGAGAATCTCGCCTGTACAGCATCATTTTAATTGACTTTGGATGTTGCGTTAGGGTGACAGTTCCATACAAGACAACACCAGTCTCCAACACTCCTGCCTCATTTATTGTTAAGTATGACTCGCGGTTCTTTTCTGACGTGTGATCGTCTTGGACTCACCGAGATTCCGTGAGGGTACTGGCTTAAAATCAAGACATTTAAGATTGCTCCCATCCCCTCTTCCCAGAGCTTGAACTTGACATCGCCGTATTCTTCAGTCCAGTTTACATCACCCGCCCACCCAACTTCAACTTTCCAATCTTCAAATCAACCCTTGTGAGTGCTGCTGTTCCAGAACATTATGTTCACTTCTGATAAAGCCGCTTCAGCCACGTCTCCACCATGCACTTCACCAACTTGCTTTTGGCCGCCGCCGCCGCGGTCTGCCTTGGGCCTTCTTTCGCCTCAGCCGAGTGCACCCAGTTCAGGAACGGAAGGATTTGTAGTGCCCCCTTTAGATTCACTTGTGGTGGCATGGGTACTGCGACTCTTACCTGCTGTACTGGAGTGGGCGATGCGGATTGTCAGTGAACGGAAGCGCTATGAGTTTGTTGGGACACATGAAGGAAACAGGTGGTTCATATCGTGCAGTACAGTACAAATAAACGCATATAACCACAAATGCTCATGACGACTCGGTTGAATTCACAGTCGTCTGCTCTAGGATTCTGACGCTGTGTCAAGTTGCTGGTGGCATAGCTGAGACGAAAGATCTTCTACTCGGCCAACGTGTCTGGGCCAACGTATCTCGACATTGAGGTCCGTCTTGATCTTCAAGTCCCTAGGCTAGGTACTTGGTAGTCCATGCTGAACCCGCGATGTGTCTAGACGTGATTTCGATGCTGGGCTCTCAACATACCATTGACGCAGTAAGTCATAAGGAAACTTGATTTAAAGTCGAAGAAACTAACGCATAGTCGAGTGCTGGAACATCAAGTAATATGCTTGATGAGAGAAGCGAGGGGGCCAGCATCGAACGGCGTTGACCAACGGGATGAACTCTCATGCGGCCTACATGGTTGCTGACACACGCTACATAACTGCTTAGAAACCGGGCGGGTGCTCTCCACAACGCAATCGCGGCATCGATCAAGGAATCCAGGCCCCACCATGGAGCGGGACGCATCTCACAAAGCAGGACTCCCGTCTTATCAAATACCGACGCGGGCCTTAGCTAAGCCAACACTAACGACTCCATTCCCTCTACGCCATGAAAACACCCGCCATCTTCAATATGGCAGGTCCTGACTGGTTTGTCCAACCGGTGCGGGGCTTCGGGGAAATGAGTTGTATGGCCTTGTTGTCTCCCTTCGTACATCCCCGGTGACGGGGGCTTAGTCAAGACCACGCAGCAACTCAAGCAGCCGCGGATTTCTGGGGTTGGGACTTGCTTACGCCCAGCTTATGGCATTATGGGTGGGAGATGGAAAGCCCCTTCTGCATCTTCTCTCTGTACATGGGTACCACCGGCGGAGTTCCACCTCCGGCCATCGCTCCGGGCCGTTCGGCAGACTGTATCGTTAGAAGCCATTGAAATCAGCTCAAAATGCCGATGAGGCTAGAGATCCGCCAAGAGGTGAGCAGGGGGGGCTGACTAACGTACACTCAATGTTTACTGCATCCTTCGAAAGCACATGTAGCATCTTTCCCAAAGAGGAAATTCTCGTGGTAGAAGCACGACAGCAGACAAGGCTGTATGGATTTCTGTTACGCCGAGTCGGATTTACAGCATATCACCATAGAAATGCACCGAATGGGAAATGACGCATATTGAGTGAGAGGCACGTGGGCGGTGACCGTTGGTAGGAAGATTCGGCCACGATGTCGATATTGCGGATTAGACACCGAGAAGGGAAGCGTCTATTAAAACGAATGTAAAGGTGTATCGTCGGAGTATTGTATATAAGAGAGATATCTGCTCGTCTTTGTCTAATGGTACCCTCTTCATCCTCATCAAGCAGACAAATCAAGCCGAAGTCTTCATCCCGATCCCCAGACTCAACCAGCTTGCCTTGGACCAACCCCCCAAACCGTCAACAAAATGAAGTTCTCCCTCACTCTCGCGGCTGCGGCCCTCACCTCCACCGTCGTTGGTGACGGTAAGTTGCACTTACAACCGGACGAACCTTCGCAGCCGACTAACACCAAACAGCCGTCCCCTGGGAGAGACTAAACAAGAACGACTCCATGCTTCTGGTTGTCGACATGCAGGAGGGACTATTCAACCTCGCCCGCGACTTCGACCCGACCCTCTACCGCAACGCCATGCTGGCGCACTCCTCTCTGGCCAACATCTTTGACCTCCCCGTCGTCCTGACCACCTCCGCCGAGACCGGTAAGCCAAACTTTGCCCCTAGGCCGCCCTGCCATCTCGGCCAAACCGCTGACACAAGCAGGCCCCAACGGACCCCTCCCCCAGGAGATCCTCGACATGCACCCCACCGCGCCCTTGATCAAGCGCAACGGCGAGGTCGACGCCTGGGATAACGCCGACTTCCGCGACGCCGTCCGCGCCGCCAACAAGTCGCAGATCATCCTCGCCGGCATCACCACCGACGTCTGCACCACCTTCCTCGCCCTGTCCCTCCGCGCCGAGGGCTACTCCGTCTGGGCCAACGTCGAGGCGTCCGGCACCACCACCGAGCTCATCCGCGACATCTCCAACGACCGCATGGCCGCCGCCGGCGTCCAGGTCGTCTCGCTCTTCTCTATCTCCCTCGACCTCATGCGCGACTGGCGCAACACCCCCGGCGCCAACGAGCTCTTCTCCTGGCTCGACGAGTACTACCCCGCCTACGGATACATTGCCCGTGGACACCGCGCTGCTGTCGAGAACGGCACGGTCAGCGATGCACAGAAGACCCTGCCCCTCCGCTAGGGGACTGATGATGTGAGGCTCTCTCTTGTTGAAGGGAGGCTATTTGGGAGGATGGTATGATTCCCGGGAAAATGGTAATATCGGCAAAAGTCGTCGGATTATGGTATTCAAAAGGCTTCCTGTGCTCTTTAATCTTCAAGCCTCTCATTCACGAGCCCTGCGGCTATTTTAGATTGGATTCCACATTAGGATGATTGTTTCTTAAATTCAGAAGCAGACATAATAGAAAGCCTTCAAGCAGACTTATGTAGCATGGAGATCAGCTCGTTCAACAACACCAACTCCCTTCAGGTGACAAAAGTGCAGTAGTCTCCCTTAGCCCCGGAGATCCGGCGATCATTACTCGCCACCCGACCGCCGCCGTCCACTCCTCCGACCTCTGCATTCCTAAAACGGCAAGTCAGGGGTCCCCAGCCCCGGAGAACGGTCCAGCGCGGTGTCCGCCAAGTGGGGCACACACCGACGCACACCATCACGGACGGGGATGACGGGCTGCGCAGCGGGGCCGAGCAAGGTCGCCGGCGGACTGGTTACCCCCGGTCGATCGGCGGACGGCCAGAAGCAACTTTGACAGCTGCTTCTGCCGAGGCTACATGCGGACGGATTTAGAAACCCATTTCTTTCCCAAGACGCGACTCGCGACGGCCGGGGAAGGCCTTCCGTATGCGGGATGATATAATCCGAACCCTCATACCTGATGCTTCATCTCCGGGGGTGCTCTACGCGGGACAGAGATGCCATGCAATCGATCGATCGTACGGTTCCCCCTTCTGATCCGGGCATCGCCGGCACACCCAGGAAGGGCCGTGCTGCTTATTGCTCCTCCTGCACACGTAAGAAAAGCTCGGATGGAGTTCGTGAACAAGGTTAGAGGAGCTCTCAGCTTGCATGCCGCACGCAGTTATTGCTACATGCCCGTGAACCTGCTGGCTGCACCACGCGGCAATCCAAACACAAACCGGGGGGGAGGACGAGGGACAGCGAAACCTTGCTACATGTGCCGCTGCCGCCAAATCTCACCTCACCACCGATCGATCAACGCGGCTGAAAGTCAAACATCAGACGTCGGCGGCGATCGTCGTCCAGCCCCGGCGCAGCAATCTGAAGACTATTTCCTCCCATTTCCACATCCGCTTCAGCCCCGAGATTCCTGAGCCGACGCCAGAGATTTGCATGTCGGCAGCCGATTTTGAGTGTGGTCAGAGCGGCTACCTAGCATCATGTCCGCAACGGCTGTGCCTCGCGCGCGCGCGTGTGTGTGTGTGTGCTGCCCAAAAGCAAAACGCAAACATACAGTTTCTACCAACTGGCATTCTCTACCCGCCGGTGCCCCTGACGATCCGGCGTTCGATCAGAGACACAAAGCGGTGGTGCATCTGCCAGCTAGCTTCTACGACCGGGGTATCTGTCGCAAACGGGATTGCGGATGGAATGGAGGTCTCGTGTAGTCTTGCTTTTCCCAGGTCCCATTTCGTTACGTGAAACATGTGGGATATCGGAGCGGAGAGGGGAGAGGGCTAGACAAATCTCAGAAGAAAATATTCCTTACCCAACGCCAAGGATCAAAGACAAAAATGCAAGTCTCAAAAAAGCCTCGTTGCGTCCCTGTCAATTTTTATGTCTTATTTTTTATTTATTTTTTTACTGAATCTTCAATTATGACTGTCATGGAAAGCGGCGATGAGACTTG